GCGAAACAGTGGGCTGTGGCACGGAATTTGAGCAGGAAAAATGAAGTGCATGGTGAACTTGAGTACCGAGTTCCCACAGAATCTGGTTTCGATTTCACGTCAACACGACGACGAGAAGCTGAGGGTGGAGGAACAATGGAGGTATCTGATCCTTCAGGTTCTTTGTTGAACTTTGGGGATTTGTCGGCCGATCAAGCGATTATGTGCCTAGCCTGGTTTTCAGATCGAATCCCCAAGATGCAGTCTGAAAACCTGTACACACACATATATACCCACGTCCCCGTTCCGCTCAGGCGAGGTGCTTCAAACAGCGCAGGGGCCCAGATCTTGGCACAGAGCGCTGCCGCGGCTAAAGTGCAGAACCTGCCAATGATTCAGCAGAACCAAGATCCCTTTTGTAGCTAGGCTAGTATGTTAAGGTTGATGTGGTGATGTACGTATCTCTTTGGGGTGGGATTTGGGGGTGAGACATTCAATGTTAGGCTATATCTCGAGCTTTCTTGAGCAAATGGGGAAGAAGCTTGACAAAATCGATGAACAGCAGGACCCTGAATTTTGTTCGACCGATATGCAATAATATATACTATATACGTGTGGCAGGATCGTTTGAATGGCTGCTCTTCTCCAAGAGCATCAGAGTGCCTTGCCGCAGATGGTGTTGCGCATATGTATATATTATAATAGATCATATATATATATATCCGGAACAAAGCGACACTAGGATCTTGAAGCAACTTAAGATGGACCGCACTGCCTACAAGACTGCCTACGACAAGTTGCAGACTTTCCAAGAGAACCATTGCACGGTGGAGTGTCCGAGTGTCCCATGGCTTCCAACTCTATAAAGTCATGCAGTGTGCCACCCTGTTTATGTTTCAATTTAAGTGATCAAGCGTTCAAAAAAATGTTGTGACTCATGAGGAGGACTCCAAAGGCCAGCTTCGTGATATCTTCATCGCGTGCACCAAATCAGATGTGCGTGTCAACAACATGATGAGCCGCGCAAGGCCACCTAGCGGTGCACTAAACAACTCACAAGTGTGCTGTTCACATGTTTTTGATTTAGGTTCCTGGTCAGCTCTTTTCCTGCCCAGGACTCTCAAGATTGTGAAGGCCAAGGCCAAACCGAAAGCCAAATCTGCCCCATCTGCGCCTTCGCAGAAGCGCTCCGGCGCTGCTCAGGGTGAACCTGGGAGTCAGGCCAAGGTGCCCAAGAAAAAGGCCAAGGCCAAGCCATCCAAGTAGATCTAGAAGCGCTCATGACATATGTAGCGCAATTTTGACGTTTTCACGGCTTTGCAGTGCCGTGTGAGTCAGCAAACTGGGGATTCCACCTATGTGTGGTGAGCTAGAGACAAAAGTGGAACAAAAAGGGTCCAACCATACCCACTACCAGCTGAAATCTGTTTCAAGACCTTGTGACGCCCGGTGTGACTATATCGCTGGCCAGGTGATCATGTCCGCGGCCACTTCGCTTCAATGGTTGGAGGACTGCATGGGATAACATGATTCGATATAATTCAATCTCCGTTTCGCAGGAGACCCAGACTTGACCCAACAGTTGCAACAAGATGAAGAGCATGCAGCAGCGATTTTGGAGAACTATTTTTCTGGGGTTTCTTTGCTTCAGTGGGCTTTGTGTGAGAACTTGATATGAGCAATGTAAATTATACATCGATTCTGTTTTGAGGCTGAGTCTGCTGTGAAAGTTGGCCGCACTGCTGCAATTGCAATTAGTCGTGGATCAAAACGAACCTTTTCAGCAATCTATTGCAAGAGTTTGCAAAACCATTAAGCTCTCAAATCTCATGTGTCCAAAGTTTGGGCTCCAAGACTGGTTTGCGGCTGAGGAACGGGAGATTTGCTTTGCCGCATTGCATCCACCGAGAAGCACAAGTCGAACGCTGACAGAAACCTCCGGCGGTGCATCCACAAGGCAGGAGTCACCTTGCCTATAGAGGTTGTCACGGTTCCCACAACCATTCAGCTACGGAAACCCAGGGTGAGGACCATGGATATGTTTTGGCCCACCTTATCAATGACATCATGGTTGCAAGTGCTGGGCGAGTCCTACCCGGAGATCATGCTGGGTGGCTTCCGGTTAGACCAAGAAAAGGGCTGGCGAAGTCTGTTTACTTGGTTTTGGGATGTTTACAAAAGGTGTGATCCAACGCACCCAATCTACAGCCTTGAGGGTGTGGACTTTTCATCGGCGATACCGTACATGGTTCATGGAGATGAGGGCAGGGGACTGAGGTCCCTTGCCTTTATGGTCCAAAGCTGGCAATTGGTGATATCTCACCTGGGTCCACATACCACCAATACATCAGGGCACCTTTTCCGCAAACAGTCGTTTTGGGGGAGGGCCGGGCCTATTTTTCTTTATGGCAAGTCATCACTAATCCATGCATCGCAAGTCCGCCCAGGCATAGCTTTACTAGCAGGCTGCTGCATTCTTGTATCTCCAGCCGGCTCTTCTTTGGTGAAAAGACCCTCCGTGACATCAACGCCAGTTGGGCCCAAGAAATGCGGAAGCTGTTCTTTGATGGTGCAAAGGTGGCCGGGGGTTTAAGAGTCATGTACATGCACCACTTTCAAACCGTTGTCAGAACCATCCCTGATAAGGAAAACCTGCACGTACCCTGCAAGGTGAAAAACTTTCACTTTCGGCTAATCTACCTGGCCGGGAAAGGAGATTGGCCATATCTCCGAAAGGTGCATGGTTGATGTTTATGCAATTATGATGTGCATGCATGCATTGACCTGGCACACCTCGCAAGTGTTTGTCAAGAGTAGAGAGTGCTGCCTGCCGCTGCAGGCATTTTCACTACAGACAGGCTTCACAAGCACAAGAAAGTGCCACCTTTGTTCTGGCGAGGAGCTGCCGGGAAGCATTGGGGCTTTGATTGTTTGCAAGTGATGGGTTGTAATACATGTATATACTGAGTTACTGTGCACCCATGCGCGCCCTGAAGGCGTGGTACCGAATGGATTCCAATGCACCTTGGCGTGGTGATCCTGGAAGAAGCCCATTCAAGCGAGAAGGCAACGTGTTCTCCTCTGTACCCGGTGGAGGGAATGTATCGTCCATCCGACCGGACATAGTTCACACGTTCCATATTGGATTCGGATGCGACATGGCCGCGTCAATGATAGTCTGGATGGCTAGGATGGGAGTGTTCCCAACCGGTTCAAACAAAATGGATGACAAATTGTTGGAGGCCTTCTCGAGGTTTCAGGCGTTTTGCCACGACACGAACCGCTACAACGCCTGTGAGTCGTGGTCCACAAAGAAGTTTGGGATGAACTCGTCTCAAGGCTTTGCCCAAATAGTTTTCTATGTTGGCCAGTGGTTGGTCATAGCGCTGAAACTCCTGTATGGTTCCACCACCCTATACCGCGCTCTCCATATAGCTAAGGACACAGGCATTCCCGGTGTCTATTGCAGGGAAGGGGCACGACACAGCGGTCGTGTGCAGGTGGCTGCAGGCTTTACTTTTAGAGCTGGAGTCATGGTCAGTTTAATTTGTTATATACGGTCGTGAAACCATGCCATGCAACTAATAAGCCAGGTGGCTGTCTTTTGTGCTTCTCCAGCTGTTCTGTGCAGAAAGGTTGATGCCAGCAGGATAGCCTCAGATTTAAAGCACGTACTTCCAAACCTAGGACTGCAACAACCAGCCATTGGAATACATGCGCTACACGATCTGCCAAGCCAATTCTCTCTTTGACATCTTCTACGATCATGGAATCTTCCTACCACCAGAAGCCAGCTTTGCAGCCAGTGCGGCGGCAAACAACCTTTGTGTGCCTAGCCTAATATTGGTTCATGGTTCATGCACACTGCCTCTATCGCATGGCACTCTATGCAATCATGATTGTGTAAGGAAGGATACTGCTATCTAGCGACCCTTGCTCATCGAGATGGCCTGAAACTATTCCGTATTCGGCCAAAAGCACACATGATGAGGGAAATTTCGATTTCACTATCGTCATGGTGCATAAGCCCCATGGCAACAGCATGCTGGAATGATGAAGATTTCATAGGACGTGTGTCACGTGTGGCACGCTCGTGCCATGGAGCTACACTGAGCATTTCCTGTATGAGGAAGTGCTTAGGTTTGTATGCCGTGCAGTTCAACAAACTCAAACAATCAGCCAAGAAGCGTTGAAAAGGAGCAAGTGCTGCCAAGGCCAGCATAGTGTGTGCGCAGATGTGGGCGGTGTGTCGATGTGCTGGTGAGGTCGTCGGTTTTCTTATCAAAACGTTGGAAACTACTAAAACGTTGGGAAAGTGAAAATCACTAAAAATTTTCAGTTGTTGGGTGGTTCAGGTTAGACTTATGCATGGAGAGAAGCCGCGATGATTGATTCCACGGTGCTTTGCGTTGTTTTGGCGAACAAAGTTTTCATCTTGGTTCAGGAGTTATTCTTCAACGGGAGTTGGTATCAGTTGGATGATACTGTTCAATGAATTGGCTGATACTTGCCTTGGAACCGCTGGGAGACTTGTTTCTGTTGAGATTCGTCCCACTCCACTGGAACTAACGTCAGACTTCATCACTTACCTCTTCAAAGGAGACTTGTCCCAACTACCACCATGTCTTGTGGCCATGGGATTACAATGACTGCGATCGATGTGGACATGTGACATGGGCTCCGGAGCCCATGTCACCTCCCGACCTTTCGATACTCGTCGTGTGGATTGGCCCCTCGGGTTCAGTCGAATCGTTTCGACCCTGCACTGTGCAGTTTTTCTCGCCCATCACGCCGAGATTGCAATCTCCCAGGCCCCGACCTGACCAAACACGATAAAGAAATGACTTACGGAATTTACGGACTGAGCCACTAAGAGTCCTTTTTGACCACAAAGAGTCCCTTTTGACACCGCATGACCGCATGTTCTTTTCTTTCCCCACCAAACAGATGTCGCCATGATCGGACGAAGTGAATGTCCATCTCACACGTTTAGCGCTGTCACGATCGCGAGCGGTCGCGAGGACTACAACGTTCGCTTGCGGGCCGGGCAGCCTGAGCTGGACCAGCTCTTGATGAACAGTTTTCAATGGACAACTATTATAACATCCTTGAATGAGTGATTTTTCATAGTGCAATCGAGGCAATGAGTTCAAGAATTTGCGATCTGATGCCCAAAAGTGCACTTCGACCCACCAAAGCATAGGAATCCTTCGTTCATATCTTGGATTCCTTTCCATCTTCGGGGCCCAGGAGTGGCCGCGGGTCAAAACCCGGAGCTCTAAACCCTGATAGGTTGACCGTGATCTGCGTGTCCCTGGTGACCCAGGTGCAGGGCCCTGCAGATCCGCAGGCGCCAAAACAAAAAACCGCATCCGCATCGGCCGATGGAGGGCATGAAAAGAATCCTGGACACCTGCAGGAGATGGTATGATTTTTGAAGAACATGCTGTCAAAATCATGATCTATCCTTGGATCGCACGTCGATAAAAAACAGATAAAACCGAATCAAACATGGACTGGGACCACCCCTCTCAAATCCACCCCCTTAATGGTCCGACCTTGTCGTATCGCCCTGCTGTATCGTTTGGTATCCTTTGGACAAGACACCAAGTGTTGTGTGGCTCAACAGAACAATACTTTAGGTTGCTTATAGATATATATATATATATGGTCCATAAATGCCAAGTGCAACAGACCATCGCAGATACCTCGGCAGACCGGACGAGCCGTTTCAGGTGTTTTTGGTTCGAGCTGTTTCGGCGCTCGGCCTTGAGCGCGTGTTCGAGCCTTGGGGACCCGAGTCTCAGAAGGTCAAACGAGGACGAGCAAACCATGGCCTTTTGAAGATGTCCAAACACTCCTTGGACCCTCCGGAGGGCAGTAGGGTTCTGAAAGGGTGGTTGGATGTCGAAAGAACCCACACGGAACCGACTCACAACCAGCCAGGAGCTTGAAGTCCTGCGAGTTACTTGGCATCTCCAACTAAAGCAGGTCATTGACCTGCGCGACCAGCGCATTCTGGTGGACTGGTTTCACGAGACGCTCCAAACAGCCCGACAGGTCCCTCGAATCCATAGGGATTGGTTCGGGTCCGGACCCCTCCAGAGGATTCGGGTACGGCCCCGGTCCCTGAACGGAGGGTCCAACGGGTCGCGGTTGGGTAGAGACTCAGATTAGGTTTTACAGCCAATCAACTGAGCTGCTCAGCCTTGTTTCCATCAAATTGAGTGGTATACCACTGTGGAATCTAAGTCATTTGTGCCAACTTCATGCATCACGTTAACAGTTCATGCATCATTCTCAGTCTTGTTGCCTGTTGGATTGAGTTTGTGATTGGTTTTCTGTTTTACGGGCAGCCGGCAGCCATAGTGTTTTGTCTGCTTTTTTCTTGATATGTTTGATTAAGTTTGCATTTCACAGACAGACACACATCAGGTCTCACCTCACATGGTTTTGACTCCATGCAACTCACCCGCGAACAGTGATAACCATTGCCTTCTTTGTTCCTACCAATCCCTGTTTGGGTTTTGTTTTGGGGGAAGGCGCACTGCACACGTTGGAAACCACCGGTTTCTCGTGTCCACTCTCCTGGTTTCTCGCCTGGCCACTCTCGGCTTCGGGAGAGATCTGAGCAGCGGATTTGAGGAGAAGATCCTGACGGCCTTGAAGTTGAAGCCAGAAGATTTGGAGTTCGAGGTTCAGGCAGAAGACAAATTGGACCCTTCCAAGACGTTCGACGGACAAGCAGACAAGCAGACTCTCTGAGTGGATGTCTCGAACGATATTGTGTTCTTTTGCCCGAGTCTTTCTGTTGATTGTTGGGTGAGCGGCATTCCCACTCTGAAATTCCCTCAAACAAGTATGATCGTCGTTCGCTTCGCCCGATGGTGGGCGATGAATGAGATGGGAGGTCCACACACGTTGAAAACACACCATTTCCTCTAAAGGGATCCTGAAAATTGACTCTCCATAGGCCCTCAGGCTAAGCCAAGCATTTTCCTCTACCAGCCAGTGGTTTGGGGTGGGATCCATGTGAATTTGCAGGAGGGTCGAGCAATGGTCCAGCAATGGTCTTCATGTGATATACATCGATCATGGAATCATCAGAACTCTTCCAAGTGCATGTTTTTCACCTTAGAAATACGTACTTCCTACCCAGTCTAAGCCCTTCCAGTCAAGGTCACCCATCCAAAGTCTCCGAAGTGGTGTAGTGCTGTGGACATATGTAGACTCTTGATGAATAAAATCCCCCATTGCTAAAATATCTTTGTGAAAATGGGTTTAATTACTCATCTGAGAGTCTACCAGGGGCCCCACAAGCCATCAATAACCTCTTTTTTTCCCCAGAAAAAAAAATATGGTTTCGCATGTGGAAACCGAACACCATAGCATTTTTCATGGGCGCTATAGGGCTGCTGGTACATGATCGGTGGGGTTTCTCGTGACCGCGATAAACACGTCACAGGCGGTGCCGGATGGATCGGGCCGCCGCTTGGAGGAGCTCGAGGTACAACGGGAGGAGGGGGAAGGGGCGGGGGTTGTTGGAAGTGACCTGAGATGGACCAAGAAATCCAAGGTCAGTGAACAACTGATATCTTATATTTATATCTTTGATATGCCATATGATGTGACATGAAACCACTTCCGGGCGGTGGGCCTAGTCGTTTTATGGGGTTTGCTCATGTCAACATCAAAGAAATCATGCGAAGCCAAGTGTAGGTTCACATGAAGGATGGCCCAAGATCAGTTCCTTTTTACACGAAACACTACATGAAAGTGTGTGAGTAGTGCCGCCACATTTGATGAGCTTTTGTTTGTTGTGCGTTATCTATGGGGGCATTCTTTGGCAGAGCGAGTGGGCAGAAATTTGGTCACCAGTCACGAACTCGAAGACAGATATCAAGTGTTTGCAATGACATATCAATGACTACAATGCCACCACCTGTAGTGATAGTTGCAGTGTGACACCTAGATCGATACATGATTCACTTCGGCATCGACGGCAAAAACGAAGACATGGCATGAGCTTTCCAGCTAGGCCCGCTATACATATATATAGGTATTCCTGAAAAAGACACCATGAGGCCGGTGAAAGAAACCACTCCACACCACCGGGCCATGTCGCCGAGCCAATGCATCTTGCATTAATTGCATTATTCTTGCATTGAGCCCCTAGTAGCTTCTTGTTCCTAGTAGTAAGGGCAGGAGCCCCTAGTAGCTTCTTGTTCCTAGTAGCGATGCCAGGAGCCCCTAGTAGCGTTCTTGCTCCTAGTAGTAAGGGCAGGAGCCCCTGGTAGCTTTTGTGTCTAGATATGTCTACATTGTGTTTGAGGATTTTCTGATCGCGTGACGTGTCTTTTGATGTCTTTCTGTTGCCTGCGGCTGTTTTAAGCAAGCGGCTGTCTTTCGTGGCCTGGCTTAAAGGCCGGTCTCGATCTGCGGATTGGTGAAATGAGACCGGTCTAACTGAATCATTGGGATACACGGCAACACCGCTGATCTGTGCGGTCAAAAAGGCTCCTGAAAGGGCTCGGTGACTGGGACGATGACTCCACGGGCTCGGCTCCGGTTTACCATCGGATCTCGGGATCTAAAAACGAACACACGTATCCAATCATATCCATAGCACATTCTGGTTGGAATTTGGCAACAGGATGCACACAAAGGATGCACAGGTGATTTCATTTTTTCTTGGCGGTTCCGCAAAAACAGACTTCCGCGAAAGAGGGAGTTCTGTTGAAAGAAGGAGTTGTGCTGGTTGCTGCAGGATCACTGCTGCATGCTGCTGATCACTCAAGGGATCACAAGATCAATTGTTTCCGAGAGGCTTCACTTGCCCCTTCTCTTTGGTCTCCCAGTTCGCCGGTACTTTCCAGACCAAAAGTCCGACTCGCTGCCCCTCAAGGAAGCAGTAGTTGAGTACTGGATGGTGGTTTCAGATATTTAGATGTGTTTAATATCATTACTTGAGATGATTGAACCAGATGTTCACCCATTTGTTCACCCACGAACAAGACTCTTTTTCGTTCGCGACCCTTCATGTCTCACCACGCCCAAAAACTGCGCGTGCCACGCCGCAGCCGCAGCCAGGTGACCCTCCACTTCCAGCACTTGTCGACGCAGCAGGAGCCACCCGGAGCGGACGACGCGCAAGAAACGACGCGTGACGCGCGGACGACACGGAGAGTTCGTTGGTGCGGAAAGGATATGGAGTGAACGATGTGACATCTGAAGCAAAAGGAAAGCAGTTAAATCAGATCTGTGGTGAACAGGATGAAACCGCTAAGTACATGTGACACATTTGTTGGGAGGAGTCCATTTTCCGGTGAAGACAGTGGCAGACCGAAGACGTCTGTGGAAAACCGGTTTCAGGGCCCTTCGAGCTGCCGAAGCAAACGAAACAAAGCAAACCAGCAAAACAAAGCCAACTATACTACTAAGCTACCAAGCCAACTAACCAAACCAACAAAACCAACCAAGATAATTAGTTTTATGGTTTTCATGTGCTTGACACCCCCCCAAACCGAAGTTTGGGAGGTCACTCGAAGATGGGACTCTGACAGACCCCAGTTTCTGGCGTGCATTATTTACATATTATCATAATATTGTGTAACCGACAATGAGTTTACCATAGTTCACCTGTACTATATTACTATATATAGTTTGTTGTTCCATCATTGTTTCGTTTTACAGGTGTTTATGTTGTTGTTTCATCCCTGTGCATTCTGGTTGTGGTCCCAATCAGCATTTTGTTTAGGTGTTGCATGGTCCAATGCAGCGGTCGCCAGGAGCACCAGATCCAAGACTTTCTCAAGCAGAATCAGGAGAATACTTTTTGTTTATGTTCAATGCTGTCAAGATCAAAGTGGCTGGAGTTTGAATTCTTCGGTACTTGAAGAGCACAAAGGCAGGGAAGAGCAACGAAAACATGTATACAACACTCGCAAACATGACGTGAACATGGAAGATAGCAAAGTGGAAGACTATGCACCTTCTTCAAGGCCAATTATGTAGTTTGATGTCATGGACAGTTGGATGAGGGCGTCTATTCCTGGTCGAATGCAATCACTGGCCAAAGCATGCCAAACCTATATACATATATATCGTGTGCATACTATATCTATATAGTCATACTAATTCTTTTGACTGCAACAGGTGGGGCACTGGGTGACATGTCCCACAAGCGTCAAAGACTACCATCCCCCAACAAACAACATCAAACAACTATGCTGCACCTTCACCTAGACCGGGAGTTTCTGCCTGCCAAAGCATCAAAGCAAGGACCTTCTGGTGGATTTCCCGCCGGTGACGTGAATGGCTGTCGCCTGCAGAGGAGCTCTTGCAAGCCTTCGGCGCCAAAGACGTGATCACAACGGTCCCGCCCTCCCGCGCGACGGAACCCATGCCCGAACCCATGCCCGAACCCACGCCACAGGCGCGCGCCGGAACCTGTGGAGGTGGGTGGAGGTGGCGCGGAGGTGGGATGGTTCCCAAGAACGATTTTTTGATTGTTGGGTGCAGGTGCACACAGCTGTTGATTTTCTTGATGCTGTTGTTTCTTCAAAGCGTTCAGGAATCTGTTTGATATTGCTTAATTACTGTAATGTCGGTTTCCCTGAAACATCTTAAACATCACTTGGATGTGCGAAGACCCGTCAATTCCATCAACTTTGCGTCACCAAGCACCAGACCTTTAACTTGCTGTGTTTTGTTTGGGTTCTCCATGTAGCCCTTGGCCTCCAGGCCAAGACCTCCTCCCTAACAGTGGCCAGGCATGGGACGGCGTGAAGTGGGTGCAGGGAACGTGGTGGTGTCGTGGGGGGAAGATCCGCTGCAGCCAGGACGACTCGAAAACAAGAAAACATCAAAAAAACATGACTTTCGAAGGACGACGTGATGGAACTTTACCGCAGATCCATGGATGCTTGATGATTTATTCCATGTATTTTTTCCATGGTTCCAGGTCCTTTTGTAGCTGCAAGATGGACTAAAATTCTGGATTCAGTGGATCACACAAAGATTGATTGACGAGTCATAAAGCTTGTGAGAACTTCTGGCTTTGACTTTGGTCTCGTGGCTGGTGAGAAATCTGGCGAAAACGGCACTTGCTGGATGGTCTAATGCGTTTAGTATGCCACAAGCAGTCAACTGCTTTTTTGGATGCATTTGCTTCCGTTTACGGCGTTTACGGCAAGCTGAAGCCGAACTCTGACCAATGCTGGTGATCATGAATTCTATTAGGTTGGAGGCCATCGCTCTTAGGTTATGCAACTAGATCGGTTAATTCTGTCATTTAAACATGCCCCATGCCCATCGGTCAACCTTAGAGAGGAGAGGAGCCAGGAGCGGACGCTCGTCCGCTGGTTCTAACATAGTTCACCGATGTTTTTGGGGGTCGAAACCCGAATGGTGGTCAGACCACTTTTCGGCCAGGATCCAAGACTATATAGTTCCATTACCGGATCAATCAACGCCTTTGCTGGATCAATAGGGCGTGGCTACTTGTAGACTCTTGAGGACCATACACCCCCCCTATGAAGAGGATGTTCAATTCAAATGGCTGGGGTTATGGTCCTCAAGAGTCTACAATCATTCCGATGATATATTCCGATCATGAACCCTGTGTCAACATTCACTGGAGTCCTGTGTGATGGAACAACCCAATTGCTTGGCTCGTCCTCTTCAGGACGACTACACCGCCGACCCGGCCGACGACTCGACGGCCGACGACGGCCATTTGGGCGGAGAATCGGAAGTGCATGGAGTCACGTCATGACCATGGAGTGCATGGGTGGTTTGTCAAGAAGGGGAGGACAAAAGCAGTGAGATCCCGAGTTTTTGCAAGCTTGGAGACTCTTGGAGACTCCTTGGGCCATGCCAACTTGAACAAACATCACCAACGGGTCCAGTTTTTTTTCTGGTGGGTTCAGACTGGACAGAGGTGCTTGGAGGCTGGTTTGTCCACCATCCCAAAACTTCTTTGGGGTCCCGGTAAGTCCCGGTCTTTTTGTCACCAAAGATTCTGTCTGACTCAACTGAATGGAGCATTTACCAAACCATCCATCAGTCTGGTTCTCGGGCTGGCCGCGCTGGCCCTGGCCTCATGTTTCCCTTTAGAAACCACCATTCCGGGATTTCCTGGTCGGTTTTGAACAGAGGCCAGTCCTATGGACCTGTGTGTTTCTTGTTGGTGACCTCCATTTAGATTGGTGGAAGATGTGCACTCATCCTGATGTGGCAAATCGGAGGGAGTCAATCGTGTTTTCGTGGGTGCCCGATGAGTCAATCGCCTGGCATGAGGAAGTTGATTGTTTTGTTTGATTTTTAGGTCCGGTTCTTTTAGCACCTCCAACTTGGGTCTGTCCTATTATAGCTGTAACAGTCGGCAAACAATGATCAATTAGCACTATGTTAGAGATATGCCCTTAACCATCATCCACTGGGCCCTGGGAATAGAATATATACTCCAAATACAAGTCATGTGTATCCATTCTTGCTGCTGTATCGGGTGATTCTTTCGGTTTTGGTGCTTCGCTACCTTCGCTCGACGCGAATGGCGTGTTCCTTTTTTGTTTTTTCCACGGCAACCCACCTTCCGGGTTATCAGACATATTGGATTTGGAAGACAAATTGGGGTGCAGAGATGTTGTGCTGACTGCTTCATCATACTTCATCCATGTCAGCGTGTTGATGCAATACAAATTGTTTCGTGAGTCATCTTGTTTGTTTAGGCAGAAAAGGGTCGAGTCTGGTTTTGTACCGCATACCTACAACCGGCCGGGGCTGGTGCAGAGCCGAGCCGAGCTGTCGCGGTTTTTGGGCCAAGTTGTAGCGGACGCATCATCCCCTCAGGTAGAGCATCCAGCGACCACACGTGCACCAACCACACCGAGGCGGGACGCTATGAGAGAGACCGTGCTTCGGACAAGCAACGATACCGAACCGGGTGACCCGGGCGACCTGACATGGCGTGAAACTGGGAGTTGTAGGAGAATTCCTTGAACAAAAACACTAGGAAATTCCTCACATGTGGTGGAAGCCTTACAAAGTTCCTGTGCCATGCGCCAAGAAACATGAATTCATGGACATGGAAGAAGGGGGATGTCTAAGAAGACTGTGGCACCCTTTTGGAGGTTCGTTGGGTGATGGTGTATTCTTTTTTGGATGTTTGTTCCAAAAGGGCGACGCATGGCTATGGCTATGGCTGGTTGTTGACATGAAGTTCATGGTCCAAACATGTCCTGAGCAGTCCCAAATGAGGTCAACATGTCGTTGTTTCGGGGGGGAACAAGTCAACACTAATAACTCAAAAACGACAAGCATGGAACACCTACCCTCCAAGCAAGGTTCCAGGGAAGATAAAGTTCTCGGGTGCAAGTTCTACAATAGCAGGTTTTCCAACATTATTTGACTCACATTGGTTTGACCATGTTTGACCTACGTTCACTTCCATAGCTGGTGTACAACAAATTCTTCCAACACTCCCAAGAACAAGTGAATAATCAAATGCTCGCTTCAAGTTATTTGTACTGCTCCTCCGTAGGTAGCCAGAGCCAAGCCAGATTTCTCCAATCTGCAAATGGCATCAACTGCGGGGTCCAGTCCACAAACACTTGCCTCACTTGCCATGCAAAATAGAAACGCCAGGTCACCAAGCGCCAGCACATTGACCACCGTTGGGCACCCCACTGCAATTGCTTTTGTGCAAGTTGGTGTGGTTCCAGTGTCAGTGCCAGACCTACAGCATGAGATGCAGAGTTTGTTTGACCCTCCAAACTGCCCTTCTGTTTAAAGACATGCTCGGACTGAGACCATTCATGCATGCTTGGGGTCATTCGAACCATGTCCTCACTGCCTATTTCATAGTCATAGCAGAACCTCCACCTCCAATGCTCCATGAAGAACTTCTCCAGATCCGCCTGGGGGTGATGGCTGGTGAAAGAAGTTCCGGGTCGCGGACGTGAATGGTCGGCGAACTTGAGAAAGCCGTGAATCTTTTTCATCCGCCGGAAGGTGGAAGGGTGCCAAAAGAATGAATGGCCTTTGGTGGTCATGATTTATTTCAACCCACTTGGCTGACATTGAATTACTTCTGAAGCGTTTTTTATTACTTCTAGAATTCAATTCTGTTGCAAGGTGTCTTTCTGAATGCTTTTTTGCACGGCTTGCTTTTTGGGGTATACTTTTGGTTACTAGGATGTTTGGACTAGGGAGAGTTACCACTGTCTCATTGAGACCATTGTATGGAACAGGCGGAGAACACATATAACTTTGGAATAAATTGTTTTACTTCTTGTTCAACGGAATTTGTTTGCACAACTTGCTGTTTTGCATTTCTTGGGAGATTAGGAAGATAGACAGCACACAGGCCAGGAAACACTAAGTGGAGCATCCAGGTAGAATCAACTCTGGAGTCAATTATTGACAGGACACCTGCATTGAAAAAATCAAATCCAAAGTGATTTTTTTCATGAACCAAGACACATGAGAATAATGAACTCTGCAGTCAATTTGAAACTACCATGCCAGCAAACCCAAACTGAAAATTACATTCATATTCAACATATTAATCCCTTAAAACTCTAAACATGTTTCCTTTTCCGGTTGGGCGCGTGATTCTTCGCGACCGAGACCTTTCCCGTTTTACACCTTCAGAAGCGTGGCATGGCCAAAGATCGTTGCGTGGCGGCATTCGCGTAGCCAGACGCGGCGCTGGGGAAGCTGCTGGGCCAATTCTTATCGTCCGATTTCTGCGCAAACACGGAGTTCTCATCCAGAAGTTTGCTAGCTGGAGAGTGTTTTTGTTCAGGAAGGATTGTTTTTGACGCCCTCAAACATCCGAGCACAAGACGAGGCATCCTGCAGAGTGATCCCAGATTCTGTGGATCGTGTCACCTGCCCTGTGTTTGAAACCCGGCAGATTCTCCCCAAGACGCCTTCAGTCAGACCATCGGTACAGACGGTTGAGCTGGATTTTGTAGTGTAAAACTCTTATGACGCAAAGCAATGAATGGTTGTTCGGGTTGCTACCGATTCTGCTAGATGGACGTTCGGTCGATGGCACGTTCGGCCTAAGCTTGGAGGATGAGACATTCTCGGCCTTTTCTCATGATTCTGTGGACACAGGTCCTTTTTGTTTGACAGTTTTTCAGAAGAGGCAAAAGCTACCCACTGGAGATCGCGTACAGTTGAATCCGCATCGAACCCTCAATTTCATTACAGTATATTGGAGTCCATTTGACCTTTGCTTTGATAGGAAAAAACACGGTTTAGGGGTGCTTGGTGATGCAAAATAGACGCCACTCAGGCTCTATAGGTAGTTACTGTCAGTATACCAACATCTCAGGTTTCTTGTAACATGTAACAACGTTTTCTGGTGTTCGCTGGTACTCAAAGTGTTTACCTAAACCAAATGCTGAAGTCTCCATCTCTCAAACACCTGCACTTTCAGAGTGTTTTCATGCTTGCAATGTTCACGGCGCTGCCATCCCCACCCGCTTTTTAATATGGAAGTCGAAGAACTGCCTTTAAAACATCTGTCTTATAGTGGAGTTTTACATATTAAAGAACTGTTTCTTAGTACATGTTTCCTTTAAAACTCCACATATGTCTTTTTCTTTTGTTTTCGGTGGGAGTTTTCGGTCCCAGAGGAGCAGTGGAGCGTTTGAAACATTCGCTCAAACCAAGCGGATTTCGCTCAAAGCGAAAGACATCCGAGGCCAAGCCCAAGTTTTCGTGGTCTTTGGATTTCGGCAGGCCGGAGGGGGTGGGAGAGGACCGGATTTGCTTGCAGCGGATCCTCTTCGTGTGTAGCTGGCAAGAATTTGGGAGATGCGCCCTTAGCTCCAGCCAGTTACAGATGATTTGATTAGGATTGACGTAGGATTGGCTCAATTAGAAATGCTTAAGTGTACCTGAATACTTCCTACATCACTATGTCAGTCAAGAACTCTATTGGTTGCTCCTTTTTGAGTTTACATTTTGAACCACCACCTATTCTTGTCGTGTGGCCATCGGATAGCTTTCTCCTTGTCATTGCAACTGTTGGCAGAAGGTTGTCACTGACATTTAGGATATTTTAGGCATTAACCATCATCCACAGCAACAGTGGGTTGACCCAAAGAGTGACACTGGGCCCTTGGGCCCTTGGGCGAAGGACCGACTTCTGAATCCCCCAAGTCTGGGACTGACAGGTCTGCCGTGCGCCGTGCTTTGGACAGGCACAGAATGATTGTTTGGATCTTTAATCCATCAGTACAGTAACGTCGTAGCTTGAAACACCATCTTATGACTTCTTGCATGCTATCAGAGCTACTTCCAAAGAGGCTATGAAGGAATCGGGATCCAGATGCAATCCACCTCAACCGAGTAGCTCGAAATCACGCTCCCTGAAACAATCATGGACGTGGAGTTCACCACCTGTTTGGCATGCAGACAATGGTCATCCAAGGGGCCATGTCATCCTCTTCCATGATGATTTTCAGGGAGTGTAGGTCATATCCTTTGCTTTTGTGTTGGTTTTTAGCCCCTCGGGTGGTTCGAACGTTTTCGTTGGACAGCAGTCCTAAGCGCTCACTCCCCAGAACCAATTGACGGTCGTCCTCTAACTGCTGAGTGATCCAAGCAAACAGACCCTAGATAGACCCCCAAATAGATTCCCCTGCACGAAACTTCATCAATAGTTGATGGATGATCATGAACAGTTGATGGATGATGTAATTATGTCTCTTTTTTGGTGGTGCCGACGCTGACTTGAAACCAGAACAAATTTAAATAATAGATGGGACCGGTAGTTCACCACAAACCACCATCAATTCGGGATGTGTTCTTCCAATTATTCACCGATTTGAGAGTGTAAGGATGTATGCATCAGATCCTTTGGTTGTGTACGTACAGAGAATTCATTTGATTTCTGAGGGTCGCACAGCCAGGGATTGGCTGTTCATCTGGTATCATTGGCAATGCCATAGTGACAAGTACTCCTGTTGTTTTGAAGCGCAAGGCTGTGGGCGAAACGACTGAGGTGTCGTTTGAGGCCATGCACCTGACGTCTTGGTGCGGCAACCAGAATAGCTGTAAGATGACCTGCTTGAGCTTTGTCTCTCCAAGGGACATCACAACCAGCTACAATCTGACTCCCATTCAGCCGCTGACTGTGAAGACCATCGTTGACTCGCTAGGCTCCTACTTTAGTAGCGAGCTGGCTCAGGGGAATGCTCGAGGTGCACCAGTGCCACGTCCGTTCCAGGCAAACCTAGCATCGAGTTTGCTTGCCAGCTTGAACGTAGAAAGTGTCAGAGGTGTCTGCCACACAGGCTTGTGGACACTTGTATGGCATAATTATGCCTTGTTGTCCATTGCTGGTTCCAGTGTTGGCACATCTCTAGTTTGGAACTCAGGTGGAGCATCGTTTTTGTGGAGCGGCACGATCGGGTCGGCAGCTAAGTCGTACGCTGCCAATGAGAACTGGATTCAGGATGGCTTGATCGTCTACTTTGAGCTCACAGCGACTGAGTTGATAGACCTTGCTCCGGCTTTGCGAGCACTGTTTTCGAACATGCCGATCGTGACGCCTAGTTATGCTAGCACAGCAGGGGGTTCAGTGCAGCACGAAGACGGGCTCTCATCCATTCCAAACTTTCAGTATGAGGATATCACCACTCCGCCAGTCCAAAATGAAGAGTACGTGCCATATGCATCCATGTGGCGTTGTAGCACCAACGTTCGGTTGCTAGGCCTTAGCACAAGAGAGGAAATGATGCCACCCGGCTCGCTGCCTCTTGGTGAAGCCGCATTGGCTGCATCTGGTGCGCCAGTCGGTGGAGTTGCTCCAGGAGGCCAGTTTCCAGCGACACTGCTGGCTACAGTTGGTTTCTTAGATGCTGATCATCTCAACCGTGCTATGGCAGCGATTGCGGTCGCCCTGCCAGATGGTTCTGGATGCACATCAGGTTTGTTGAGTGCCATTTCGAGGTGCTGCTCTCCGATGTGGATGGGTTTGGACGATTCTGATGAACTGTACAACGACTCATTGTCACAGGCAGCCGTCACGGCCACAGGACAGCAGGGTGAGATTTTCTTGCCACAATCGTCCAGAATCACTTCCACTTTGCAGCGAGCATGGAAAGTCAGTGCTCGTCGTGAAGAAGTGTCCCAGGTAGTGGCCATTGGCACAGACTTGTTTTTGCCCCGCGACGTGAGTAGCCTCGTTGCGAATATTGGGTTTTACGCAAAAATGCTGTCGGTATCGGTATTTCATTCACTCAGGGTGATGGCGATTCACCCTTCAGCCCTGAACTTGGCAGGGCCTTGGAGTGGTCAAGGAGTCAATCCGAGAGCTGCAATTCGCCAGTTTCTTCAGGTTGAGCCAGGATTCATCACAGAGTTCGCTTATCTAGTCCAAAACACCCATCAACGGCTCTTTGGGATGGATATCCCGCACGGCTTCCTTTCTACCTTGTCGTATCACGGAAGTTCAAATCCCAACAGACCTTTGCGCCCGTTGGAAGGGGGGGGCGTTGCCTTGGGACTATCTTGAGGAAGCGGTTCATCTCACACCGGTTTCGCCGTGGGAAATCCTCGCCCTTTTGTTACAGGATGCAGCGAGCCGGGATTCCAAAGAGATGAATCAAAAGGGCTGGTGTTAGCTGTGAATTCATTGCAGCTTTTGCGCAGCAGTCAGGTGGCGGCATGTGGATCGAAAGCTTCTGCCGTAACCACAGGCGGAGTTCAGGCTCGCGGTCGCCAATTCCAAGGCGGCGGTGTTTCACACTTGTTCAAGTCAGCTCTTCCATTGCCCGATCCCACTGTGGTAGGGGCACCACAGCTTTTCGTGCATGAGGAAGAGATCAAGCAGGCTAGCGACGCTGCTTCGGAAGCTAGCATTAGCTACCTGGGGCCGGGCACTCCAGTGAGTCTGCCGTCATTTCTGGCGCAGGAGATCCAGTAAATATCAGAGCATCTGTCACGGGAGATGATTTCCGTGCAACTATGCGCGTTGACTGCCTTGCTCTGGGCAGGCTGGTGCCACCAGCGGACTTTACTTTTTCTGTTGCGCATCAGTCCGCCACTTTTCAGCAACTTGTCCGTTCGCGCATGTTCGCGCGGAGCCGCAGATCCAGCTTTCCATTTTGGCTATCTGCGTGACCCTGATGTCACGGCGGCCCCGCTGACTTTTACTGAGTATCAAGCTCCTGCCATTTTGCGCATTGGCAAGAAGCGCGGTGGTGAAATTCCGCGTGATGTGGAAGGACATGCTGAGGCCGCGAAGCGTCGGGCTCAGGAGTTGCGTGTATTGGCATCGAAAGTGATCCCACCTGGAGATGAAGGTCCAAAAGTTGTTGAGCCTGCCAGTGCAGCTCGTGGAGCTGATGCCCTTGCAACAGGGCCATTGGGTCGGGTGCCGCCGGTGCCGCCTCCACCTGGTACTCGGCAAGATGAATCATTGGACGGTGAGAATGTTGAGAGCAAGGCCAATGTGGGCCAAGGCGGTGCTGGTGAGGCTGGCGTTGGCCAGGTGTAAGCAGTTGAGTGGTTTGGACAGCTCCTGATGATCTATGATAGGTAGTGTGGGACGCACATTTGAAAGCTTGCGATTGCGAAATCAAAACAAGTTTTGCCTGTTTGTTTCAATTTGTTGCTGTCTTGTTAGGCAGTTGTTGTGTTTGCAAAGCTGAATGTTTATTGAGTTTGCATGAATGTATTTGGCTCCAGATGAAATCGGTTTTTCTTTTTCAGAACATCAAATGCTTGCCAGGGTCATACTCCTTGCCAAAGTTCCAACCCCTGAATCGTTCTCGGATAGCCGCCCCATCACAATTTTGGGCCACATTCCGCGTCTATCATCTAAAATGATTGCTGACCAATGTTTGCAAGCGTGGGGTCAATCCTGGAATCCGCAGATCGCTGGCGGATTACCATTCCGCTCCGTTAAGGATATTACCATTCAGCAACAGTTTCTACTTGAAAAGGTGCATAAATCAAATACTCCACAAGGTGGTTTCACACTGGATTTAGTCAAAGCATTTAACTTGATACCCCGCCAGATAGCAAAAAAACTGCTCATCCATATGGGGGTTCCAAGCTTCGTGGTTGATTTTTGGATTAAATCCTTAAACAATATGCAGCGAATCCTGCAAATTCGAGGTAAATGTGGAACGCGCCTTCCTTCCACCACGGGGGTACCCGAAGGAGATGCCCTCTCTGTCTGCGCTATGCTGGCAATTGCAGCGTGCGTTTTCCATCGCATGTCCTTTTGTAACGTCACTCCGTTCACATACGCGGATAATTGGACCTTTATGTCATCATCGCAAAAGTCGTTTGTTCGTGCCTTCACCCATATGCTCAACTTCACGATTGCTTTACGCATGAAAGTTGATCTGAAGAAATCGTGGGGATGGGGAACCCATCAAGAAATGAGGGTGTTTTGGCAAAATATCGATGCCTTGTTTCCAGCACAGGATATTCATATTCCTGTTAAAATTGCATCAAAGGACCTGGGATGTATGGTGCAATATACAAAAAAATCTCTTAGGTTGCTTTACAGAACGTATCAAAGCCGCGGGCCGCCGGCTCAGTCGTTTAAGCAAAACACACATCCCAATTCAGGATAAGGCCACAAAGATTCAAGTAGCAATATGGCCCCTTGCGTTCTATGGAGCTGAAAGCCAACTTTTGGGAGATGCACATTTCAAACTGTTGCGGCGACAAGCAGCAGATGCTTTGATTGGGCATCATAAATTTGCTTCACCATATCTTGTAATGCATGTTCTTTCTGAGCATGTGGAGGACCCGCTTTTGTACATCATTGCCACAGGATTGTGTAGTCTGCGACGGTTGTTCTACTATCGCCCGACTATGGCACACGAAATGTGGCAGGAAATCCTTGCACCTTCCACATCATATGGCCCGTGTGCAGCTATGGCAGGTTATTTAGCAAAGGTAGGCTGGAAACCTCAGGGTTTTTCAGACGTAGTCATGCCTTGTGGTAACCAAATCTCTCTTCAGAACCAATCAATACGCGAAATTCGCAAAATTCTTCGCCAAGCATGGTCCTGTTACGCCCATACTCAAACTGCACATTGAAAAGGCATTACAGCCATGCCCTGTGATGTGTTCGTCCAACATAAGATCCATCGTAGCCTTTCAGACCAAACTTTACGTCTTATACTGCTCGACTTGGTTGGTGGCTATCAAACCGGAACCGTGAAGGCCATTTGGGATTCTACACAATCAGACAAGTGTGAATTTTGTGGGGCAGTTGATAATCATATGCATAGGCAGTTGCAATGCCCGGACTTTGCATATTTGCGAGCTAATCATTCTCAGGCTGTTGAATATTTGCAGTCAAACATCCGTTTAGCAGATCATAATGGATTCTACACAGATGGTACTTGTGATCTCCCTAGAGAGCCAAACTGCTGCCGGGCAGCCTGGTGAGTAGTTCAGAAAGTGGCTCATAATCCAATGGACCCGTCACTGGACCACTTCATTGTTTCGCAGACGTCTCATACCAAAGGACAACAAACAATAAATCGCAGCGAACTAGAAGCAGTATGTTGGCTCATTGAATATTTCCATCATAATTTCCCTACAGCAAATGTGTCAGTTTATGCAGACTCGAGTTTCGTGCAGAAAATCCTGGAGACACTATCCAGCGAAAATTTCAGTCCACATGTATCCCGACTGGCACACTTTGACCTGTTTTGGCGATTAAAGACTGCCTGGAATCCGGTCTTTCATCAGGTATTTAAGGTCAAGTCTCATCGTCCACTTGAGGAAGCCACAGATGTAGATGATTTGTACACCATTTTAGGTAATTTTGCTGCAGATGAAGCTGCCAAAATCATTAATGCTCAGGAAATGCCTTTGCTTCAATAGGCCTGCCGGGATATTCGTAACCATAGCAGGCAACAAACCCATATTTTGTCACTGATTTACGCATACCTTGCAGATTTAAAGAGTTTGCATAAGAAACTGAAAATTGAAAGAGAAAAACGAGCTGCCGAGACACATGCGCATAATGCTTTGGAGGAGGTGGTCAAATATCAAGAGGTCTTGATGCAATGGAAGATTCAAGAGAATATCTGGAAATTCGATAGTCCACTAGAAACAATCATTGCACAAGCCTGCCCGGCTGTGGCACATACCGCCATTCGGGTTTGGAGTTTTTTGCAGAAGCTTCATTGGCACCACCCGGAACATAATCGTGTACCTAACGACTGGGGCATTTCGTGGTATGAACTTGTCATAGCATTCCAATTAGACACAGGCTTTGCCTTGCCGGTTTGGATCTATCACAAAGATGAGAAACTTCCAAAACCATATCCTTTTTTGTCAGAGGAGTCACAAATCCAAAAACCAGACAGTCGTAGCCTCTGGCATCAGGCCAACACACTCCGCGCAGTTGTCCGGTACTTGGAAAATACACTGCAACAGTCTTTGTTCCCAAAATTGTTCCCAAAATATAAGAAAACCGGAGCTTCTTCACTAGTTAGAATGGGATTCCACAAAAGCCTTGTGGGAGGGATTTCGTCTCGTCCTGTGCTCCCAGACCCTGCTGCAGTCATTGAAATTGTCAAAAATTATTCGTCACTACCAAATCAATCATATCCGCATCATGTGCGCTTGGAACTTCCGCCAATTTCGCACCCCCGACCTTTTGTTCCAGAGTGTGCTGAGATACCATTTCAAAATCGTAATGGCTTGTGCCAACGCATCAAAAAATGCTTGAGGAAAAAACATTCCATAGCAGACATTGTCACCAACGACTGAGCGTTCGTGGCTAATTCATAATTCGAAATAGCTGAGGTCGTGTTTTCACACATTCTCTGTGTATAGCTGTGTGTGAAAACCACTTCACATCGCGCGTGTTCATACCTGTTTACCCTCTACGTGGAAGGGCTTTGAGGGGCGGACCGTCGGACAGTTCGCAAGTGAGTTTGAGAGTGTAAGGATGTTTTTGAATTGAAGAACCACCCAGATCGAGCACCCCCAAACTATGACAAGCAAAACGTCTGATAGTTTCCTCCAGGGTTTAGAAGTGGGTTGAAACATCTTGGCAACAGGTTGTAACCCACACCTCTCCTATGCTGTCCATTGTTGAGGTGCCCGGCAGCTACAACTATGTGCTCGATGACTCCTTTGATCTCTCTGCGCGCGAGGCGTGTTGCGCATGGCATGGGGATGTGCGGAGAGATCGGGTGACGGTTTCCACCTGGTCCGGCACCGTTGAACCAATCCGACCTGGTATGGCCTCGCAGGGTCCGGTCTAGCGGTGTGTGTGGGGTGTAGTTGTTGTGCGGTGCAAATTGATTGGCGTTCGCCCTGGAAGAATCACTTTCAAGTGGCGTTCGCCACCCGATTCTTTTTTACAAATTGCCATTAGTTGTCCCCACTTCCACCCATGGATTCTTCCAGGATGCCCAAATGTTCCTCAGATGGAAGAGTGTTCGACACTTGCAACGAGTGAAAACACTTGTTTTCCCAAGGATTGGACCGCTAAGAGTCGGAACGTGAGTGGGTTTGTTTGTTGACTGGGCACCCAGAAAAACACATGAGATGCTGAAAAGGACACCATGCAGTGGATGTGTTTTTTTTGTGGCACGGCTGCAGAAAGATGGGACACGTGTACAAAACATTAGCAAACTCCGGGCTTTGCTCAGCTTTGCTCTCAGATCCCGTGTGTTTTTTGTTGCGTTCTTTTTCGGGCTCCTGGGCCTGAGGGGTCAGGCATGGCGCCGCCGCGGCCTTTGGCGGTCGTACTCCCTGGGCCGCTCCGAAGGCGCAACTGGCCGTGGTGGAGTTCTGCAAGCTCTTGAGGCTCGAGAAGGCCTTGAAGGCGTGGTTGGGACCATTTGGTGTACCAGTCTGAGTCTGGGTCCTTCGTTTCCGAACGCCACTGGCCCATGTTTTGGCCGAGTCCAGTCCCGACCCCAGGTTTTTTTGGGTCATGGCATCAGGACGTCCAACGTGATGCCATGACCCACCTGTCTTTGGCGCTTCGGAAAACCGGGACCGGAAACCATGAGAGACAGACACGGTTTGTTGGGAGGGATGCCATCGTTGGGATTCTTTTATTGTGACATCTACCGATGGGGCGTTTTGACTTCCGGCATTGTTTCTCACCGTCGGGCCCAATTCTCATTAGGGGCCGAATTCTTTATCAGGTTTTACGCGTTGACTGTTCCGCAGGTGAGGGAAAATACCATGAACATACCGTCGTCCCAAGCTCTAGAGTTATGTCATGGTTCCAGGTTGCAATATAGGTTGATGTGGCATGATGGACTGTGGGTGGGGGAAGATTCTAATACAAACCAAATTCATCCAAATTCCGGAAGTCTTTTCTGAGTCTGCACAATTACTGTAAAGCCTCATCCAATCATTGCTCCAGCTTGTGGCCCTGAAATGCCCAAACAACTATAAAAGACGGTCTCCAGTGCTCGCGGCAGGTAGTGCCTGGAGTGGGAAACTGCTGGCCTGAGAAGATGAAGATGTACATGAACATGCAGCTTGGATCAGCTTGGAGATGGGCCAGAATCTCATTCCAGTCTCCAGTCTCGAATTCGTCGTTCTTGATGGAGCGTGGAGGGCCACGCTCCAGACCGTGTCTTGCCAGGAAGTGATTCACCACTTCAGCACACCCTTTCAACCCGCCCCTCTCATACTTGTATGCCTTTGGAAAGGGTGGTTCTCGGGATTTTTACGGGCCATCTGCGCACGGGAACATGGGCTTCGTCTGCACACAGGATCTCGCATGTTTTCCGTTGTTGGTGCCTAGCCGGTGCCCTGATTTGAGGGCCACCAAGCAGCTCGGCAGGTTCCCATCAATTTCCCATGGTATCAAACATGGTGCTTCATTTGCTCATTTGGACGATCTATATACCCTAGAATTCCAACCACCATGGATTCAATAGCCTGAATCCCGAACAACCCTTGTTTCACTAAGGATGTTACCCTAAGGATCCACATACCCTCTGAGAAGGTGATTGGACCCTGCAAGCCTACATCAAAGAGTCTCCAATCATCTCCAATCACCTTCTCAAAAGGTATGTGGATCTAGGGTTACACAAAACCAGGATCGATCGTTCCCATGTTTCGAACCATGATCGATCGTTGATGGCCCGAATGGGTGGCGGGGTCGGCAGCTTTCGGGGTCGACATCCACACTCGGACGAACACAGAAGACGACGCCACTGGCGTCCGCTCGCCCCTGTTTCGTCCGAGGAAAGTCATCAAACACAGGTTCTTTTTTTGGCGATTCGAGAACGAAACCATGTGATGTGTGGCGATTCGAGTGTACCTCTTGTTTCCTGCAAGTTGCTACTACATGGCCCAGTGCTCATGTTTGAGTGCTTTTTTGGGCCCAACGGGGCCCAAGGAAAAGGAATCCAGTTTTGGATGAACCACCGCGGGCAATTAGAAGGAATATGCTGTTTACACATGTTGACACGTGTTTTGTTGAGTGAAACATTCAGCCATATTCAGCCTTTCTGCAGCCACGCGCACGTTGTAATATGGTATACATGTTTACTAAAAGTGCATGTTTGTATGCATCATAGTGACAGACTAAGGTCACAGTGAGACCACAAAGGAAACTATAAGGAGCAGAACAAAGGAGGCTCAGGTGGTGTCATCTTCCTGGGATATTTGATGGGCCGGGCGTGCCCAAGCTAAGGCCATCAATGAACCACTTGCATCGATCTGCTCGGTGCACCTCATGGGCTTGGACCCGTTGGCCTCCACCAGTCCTGGCTGTTCTTCCAGGACTGGGTGTGTGTGCCAGTCCTGGCTGTCCTTCCAGGACTTCTTCCTTCCAGGACTGGGTGTGTGTGCCAGTCCTGGCTGTTCTTCCAGGACTGGGTGTGTGTGCCAGTCGTGGCGGCTATCCTTCCAGGAGTGGGTGTGTGTGCCAGTCCTGGCTGTCCTTCCAGGACTGGGTCTGTGTGCCAGTCCTGGCTGTTCTTCCAGGACTGGGTGTGTGTGCCAGTCGTGGCGGCTGTCCTTCCAGGAGTGGGTGTGCGTGCCAGTCCTGGCTGTTCTTCCAGGACTGGGTGTGTGTGCCAGTCCTGGCTGTCCTTCCAGGACTTCTTCCTTCCAGGACTGGGTGTGTGTGCCAGTCCTGGCTGTCCTTCCAGGACTGGGTGTGCGTGCCAGTCTTGGCTGTTCTTCCAGGACTGGGTGTGTGTGCCAGTCCTGTTCTTCCAGGACTGGGTGTGTGTGCCAGTCCTGGCTTTCTTCCAGGACTGGGTGTGTGTGCCAGTCCTGGCTGTCCTTCCAGGACTGGGTGTGCGTGCCAGTCCTGGCTGTTCTTCCAGGACTGGGTGTGTGTGCCAGTCCTGGCTTTCTGGGTGTGTGCCAGTCCTGGCTTTCTTCCAGGGCTGATCGTGTGCCGGTCTCCGTGCTGCCTGAACGAGAAGGCCTAAACCCACACAACAACGATTCAATCTCAGATTCGTTGGGGGCTTTACGGGAACCCTGGTTCATCCCCTCCAGGCGCCATTTGCCATGGCCCACCTACAATTTCTTCCCGGCACTGCAGCGCTTCGTGCGTGAGGCCATGGCTTCGTTCGTGGTGGTCTTGGGGAATTGAAGAGTCTTTCATCCGAAGTTTTGAGAAGTGCATCATTTGAAAAAAATTGTGTGTGTATTTCAATCCGGAGACCCCCGGGCTCGATGAGTAGATCGGGGCGAGCTGTGTCCAAACCTTGCGCGGGGCGAGCTCAAAGGTGTTTCTATTTGACACCCATTTGTCACTTGCATGTTGGATTTGGGATCTTAGGTGATCTTCGATTTTTTGAGAGATTACCACTCATTTTGCTTGGCTGGCCAAGTCCAAAAGAGAGTGAGAGTGGGTTAAAACATGTTATATAACACCACTGACTCCCCCGAACCTTGTCATTGAGCATGCCATCATGCCTCAGTGTCAACTACTCTAGTCATGCTCATTAGGAGTGCCGGTTTTGACACCCACATGCCACATGACCCTCTTCTTTTTCTTGCCCACGAAAGTCCATCGATTGATTTTTTTGCAAAATATATGTCACCACAATGAGGCCCGCACACTGAGAATGGTGAACACCATGAGGCCCGCACACTAAAGGGGTGTTGACCAATGTCTGACCCGGGGATTTTCCACACCGGGTGGAACGAAGCTTCAACGGTGTTGTTTTTCTCCGGTTCGAACCTCCGGTTCGTCGGCACGACGCAAGTCGATTCGTCGTGCCAGTCCGAGAAGTGGGTGGGTGAGCATGTGGGCATGGACGCTGGGCTGGAACATTCCATGGAGGCTACGCGCAAGGGTGTGACTGATGCGTCAGGGACAACTCTTGTGGTGGGCACTCCCTCCACGCATTATTGGACGCTTTCTGGGAACCCCCAAAAAGGGACCAGCCAGTGGGTCTCCGACGCCATGAAGAAGGGGGGGCGATATTTACGCCGCGTGGTAAGCACTTTGGATGTTGTTAGTATTGTCATGTGAGTCGAACAGGACATTAAACATGTTATGTTATATATAATATTACATAAGGTTATCCTTTGCCCGGAGTTCCAGTCCATGATAAACATTCATCCAGGGGCCCTACTGTATGCTTTCGACTGGAAATTATCTCAGTTGACATGAGTTGCCGGCAGCCAAGTGATGCATCAGCGCGTGCAACCACCGAAGCACCACCAGAAGTACATGCGATTGTTTTGCAGGTGGAAACCAACCGCCCTCTTGCTTACGTTCAGTAAATATGCTTCTACAGGTTCTACGAGGCCATGTCCTTGCTTCCCCGGAGTCTTCCTTCCCCACTTTTCAGTGTGGAAACTTCCTCAGGATCAAGGTGCAGTGCAATGGCGCCTCGGCTGGTGGGGTTTGGGCTGGATTGGCCAGAGAAACAAAACCGATGAAAGCAGAGCACCCGAGAGCTTCCGCTTCGGGACCATGTCAGCAGTGACACAGGCACGTTCAGAGGGTACATGGGACGCAGAGACTGCCGAATTGGTCGTAGAATATACAAACCTTGACCGTGACCTGCTTAAACAAAAAATGAAAAGCACACTCTTGACGCTGACGCATCATATGATATGTGTATGATTTGTTTTTGTTGTTGTTCCGTATACGAGGACGATTTCGCTCGCTCGCTCTCGAACCTGCCAAAATGAAAGGCAGCGAACGCGCCAGCGCTAGCCACGTCGCTTACCTTGCCTTCTTCGCTATCCTGCGCGCCGGACTCCATCGACGGCTCGGACTCCAGGTGTCAAATGGACTTCAACGTGGAAGTCGACATTTGGAGTTCTGGACGACAAGTGCAGTCGCTGGGCACTGACAAGCCAGGTACTTCGTCGGTCAGACCGTTTCAGAGGGACCACCTGTTTGGGACCGGTACATGTCGACAGGTGGTGGTTTCAAAGGTCAGGGGAAAAGCACCATACATGGAGCGTTTCGGAGATTTAGACTATATACAAACTCCTGGTCATTCGTAGGAAGCATCATGATCATTGATATGTTGCTTATCTCATGGCATATCAAATGAGGACGGTTGATCCGTGCTCATTGCAGAAATAACACATGATTGCAGGTTCGGCCCCATGCAGTGGTTGCTGTGGTGGGCTGCGTCGCTCACGTGTGGGGTTGTTTTTCTGCTTTGTTTTTACCTTTCAGGAGCAGTTGTTGAAGAGTGGAGGCTTTCAAGGAAACTTCAAGACATCGAGGTGCAGGAGGCAATTTTAGGCTGTGCCTTTAGCAGAAAACGTCCTAAAAAGACCTCTTTCTTTCCAACACCTCTCGCATTTATACCTTGATGATCCTTGATCCAACACCCGTCGCGAACGGGTGCCCAACTGGGATCTACCATGATCCAACGAGACCATGTCTTCATTTTCAACGTCTTGCCAAAGTTCCTGAAGGGCTGGTTTCCTCACACCGGTTGCTCGTTAGCTTGGTTGGCTTTCAAGTTCAAGAGAGCTGAGAGTTCACCTGCTTCAGTCAGGCCCTATATGGATCTGTGGGCGTGGCACTCAGAAGCCCGGAGCCGGATCGACATTGGATCCAGAGCGAGAAAACGCATCAACCGACTCGACCTTTTGTTTGGAACATCATATAACATGATGCAAGGGCTCGGCGGGGCTGATACCAAAATCCTGAGAGCAATTTTGATGCCTTTCTTGAGCTTACTTTCTCACCTCTTGAGTATGAGAGCCAGAACTACATGGCTGCGCTTTCTTTCGTGTGATGTGTGAATGGCTGGAGTTTATATGAAGAATATCCGGCTCAGGGGTGTTGTCGAGGCCTTGACCTTTGGGGCAGGTCACACCTTAAAACCTAACAGAGATACCAAAGATATATGATGTTTAAACTGTACATCAACAGGCTGTGTTCTTTTGACAATCGAATCGGAGTTTGTTCAAGAACATAATTATCAAAGATAAGTGGTGGCATGCAACTTCAACGACTTCAAGGACTCGGATCATGTCCACCTTGGATGATGCACTATAGCCGTCACATGATGGCAATCTTTCGTTTCTTGTTTCTCAAAACTGACGGGTGCGACTCCGTGGTCAAGTGGGGCAAGTTCCCGCTCCCCAATAGTAATTACAATTCTAATTATATTCTTATTGTTACTACTAGTAAGGCACTTGTTTCGAATAGCAAACCTTGTTACTACTAGTAAGGCACCTGTTACTAGTAGCGATGCACTTGTTCCTAGTAGCTTCTTGTTACTACTAGTAAGGCCCTTGTTACTAGTAGCTTCTTGTTACTACTAGTAAGGCACTTGTTACTAGTAGCTTCTTGTTATACTAGTAAGGCACCTGTTACTAGTAGCGATGCACCTGTTCCTAGTAGCTTCTTGTTACTACTAGTAAGGCACTTGTTACTAGTAGCTTCTTGTTACTGCTAGTAAGGCACTTGTTACTAGTAGCTTCTTGTTATACTAGTAAGGCACCTGTTACTAGTAGCGATGCACTTGTTCCTACTAGCTTCTTGTTGCTACTAGTAAAGGACTAGTAGCTTCTTGTTACTACTAGTAAGGCACTTGTTACTAGTAGCTTCTTGTTACTACTAGTAAGGCACTTGTTACTAGTAGCTTCTTGTTACTACTAGTAAGGCACTTGTTACTAGTAGCTTCTTGTTATTACTAGTAAGGCACTTGTTACTAGTAGCTTCTTGTTATTACTAGTAAGCCACCTGTTACCAGTAGCGATGCACTTGTTACTAGTAGCTTCTTGTTACTACTAGTAAGGCACCTGTTACTAGTAGCGATGCACTTGTTCCTACTAGCTTCTTGTTACTACTAGTAAGGCACTTGTTACTAGTAGCTTCTTGTTACTACTAGTAAGGCACTTGTTACTAGTAGCTTCTTGTTATTACTAGTAAGGCACTTGTTACTAGTAGCTTCTTGTTATTACTAGTAAGCCACCTGTTACCAGTAGCGATGCACTTGTTACTAGTAGCTTCTTGTTACTACTAGTAAGGCACTTGTTCCTAGTAACTTCTTGTTTCTACTAGTAAGGCACTTGTTACTAGTAGCGTCTTGTTACTACTAGCAAGGCACTTGTTACTAGTAGTTTCTTGTTATTACTAGTAAGGCACTTGATACTAGTAGCGTCTTGTTATTACTAGTAAGGCACCTGTTACTAGTAGCGATGCAATTGTACTAGTAGCTTCTGGTTACTACTAGTAAGGCACTTGTTACTAGTAGCTTCTTGTTATTACTAGTAAGGCACTTGTTACTAGTAGCTTCTTGTTATTACTAGTAAGGCACCTGTTACTAGTAAGGCACTTGTTACTAGTAGCTTCTTGTTATTACTAGTAAGGCACCTGTTACTAGTAGCTTCTTGTTATTACTAGTAAGGCACCTGTTACTAGTAGCGATGCACTTGTTACTAGTAGCTTCTTGTTAGTACTAGTAAGGCACCTGTTACTAGTAGCGATGCACTTGTTACTAGTAGCTTCTTGTTACTACTAGTAAGGCACTTGTTACTAGTAGCTTCTTGTTACTACTAGTAAAG